CACACACATACACACACACATATATATATATATATATACACACACACACATATATATATGTATATATATATGCATACTAATACACAAATACATACATAATATACATATAAATTCACAAACATATATAAAATACACATTCTACATACAAAGAGAAGTGAGTTCATAGAAGAGGGAAGAAGGAGCTGAGAAATGAGTTCATAGAAGAGGGAAGAAGGAGGTGAATAGGTTATATCTTCGAATCGAATTAGCGGCGATGGCTTTTAGCGACGACAGGTAGAGTATTAGCGGCGACATATAGAGTATTAGTGGCGACACCTTTGGGTGGAAATTTTGATGGTCAAAATTTTAGAGTATTATCAGTGACAACTTTGGGGGGAAACTTTGGCGGTCAAAATTTTGGAGTATTAGTGGCAACACCTTCGCCGCTATTGGTGTCGCTGCTATCGGTTTGTACGTTATTGATTTTCAGTCCTTCGATTAGGGACAAAATCAACGGCCAAGGTTTCACCTCATATTTCGACGCGGATCGTGGTTGATAGGCATTAGCGGCGACGCTTTTAGCAGCGACCGCCACCTTTAGCGGTGACATATAACGCGAAAGTTATGTATCGTTGCTAAAGGTGTATGTCGCCGGTAAAAACATCGTCGCTAATGCCCATTATTCTTGTAGTGTATTTGCTTGTGAGATGGGTGTTTTAAAAAATATATGTAAATATTTCAGATATAAAATTATATTTAACCAAGGTATTTTCAGTTTGTGAGATGGATTATATAAAATTTAAATAAAATATAAAAACATCAATTAACATAATTCTTAGTTTTACCAAAGAGTGAAATCAATTCTCTTTCTCTACCTTATTATCTCTCGCCATTTTCATACTCTACTTCAATGCTATTTCTCATTACCACACGCACACTTAGTATCTTTAAACATTTAAATACATTGCACCCTCCTCTAATGCAAGGATTCATATATAACCCCATCCAAAAACCACTTTACCAATGAAGCGTTAACCTACAATGGCAATGAACTGTACACTTAATTAAGTTACAACTATTATACATCTCAAAGTACCAACATAATAGAGTTACAGATCGAAATTTACATGTTTCACAACTTTCTTCTCCTTCCTTATGAGGATTTCATTAATGGAATAGCCCTGCAAGTCATCTTGGGTCTCGTATGTGAGGTTCGACACGATATATCTTTGTTTGTTTGAAGATGCATATTCATTTCACTTACCGAAAAATAAGCGAATGTTATCCGGATTAAATATAATGTTATTGTGGTTGCTTGGCTTTCCAAATATTCGTACATATGTCGACTGAAACAAATCTACTATGAGGGGGATTTGAAGAGAACCAAACGAAGCAACTGGAACAGAAGCTAATACACATATTAAAGCAATATTCCATGCTTCTCCATGACATAATACCAAATACAAGGTCGCACCAAAGGCCACCATCATAGTAGTTGTAGACAACATCAAGCTACAAAGACCAATAATCAATCGTCTTGGCAAACTGACTAGAAAATCTTGCTTGGAAAAACGTCTAGTGACAATGGACAAGAACATTAGTAATGATGTACCACTACAAGAAAGTAGAGCATTATCGGCGACAGGCATCGTCGCTAAAAGTGCGGCTTGTCGCCGCTAATAGTATTAGTGGCGATGTGTCGTTGCTAAAAAGTCGACGCTGATGTTTTGTCGCTATTAATCAAACTGTCGCCGCTAATGTGTGTTTGTCGTCGCTAAAAACTTGTCGCCGCTAATAAGCACACGTCGCCGCTAAAGACGTGTCGCCGGTAATAAGCTAGTGTCGCCACTAAAGGTGTCGCCGGTATTGGTGTTTTTCTTATATATATATATATATATATATATATAATATATATATATATATATATATATATATATATATATATATATATATATATTTCACTTTAAAATAATAATAATAATAAAAACTTGGTATGATATTAATTAATCTAATCCTACATCATTCCATTCCAAAATATTAATACAATATCTGTTTAAAATACTCGTCTGATTTAACATATAACAACATATCGAAAATACTAGTCTAAAATACTTGCACAAATAAAACATAAAAAATCCTACAACTATCTACTCGTCATCATCGCTCTTCTCGTTTCCTCCAGTTTCATTTCGTTGTGGCAACGAACGAAACCAATCTTCAAGTGCAGCACTACATGCCAGATCTTATAAGTAAACTAGCATTATAACATTCTATATACAAAATAAAACAACTACAAATAAAACAACATAGTCTTATAAGTAAACTAGCATTATAACATTCTATATATAAAATATACATTCCACATATTGGGTATAAAACATTCTAACATTGTACTATAACTAACAATTACCAAATTTTGAAACTATTACTAAACCAACAATTACCAACATTTTAAACAATTACCAAAATTAAATAATCTTGTCACCTGTGATTGTGGTGGTGGCTGTGTCATTGGTTGTTCCTGATCGTACATCAACACAGCCGTAGAAGGTTTACGCCCGATGCCTCTGATATGGCCCGTCGAACACCCAATATTTTTTCAAAACAATTTTGTGTATCCTTTGTTGTTAGACTGCTGGCTTCAGAGGAAGCTTGAGTTTGTTGACTGATCTCAAAGAGTAAAGCATTCTGTATTTTCAAATAAGAAATAAATATAATAAAAATTAGATTACTAACTACCCTTTGACGATATAAGCACTTATATGAAAATACAAATTAACCACTTACGTATTTTTGCTCGACTGGAGGACTACTAAACACCCCTTGGCGATCAGTATTGGCCTTATGAAATGCTTCGATTCGAGCGATGTTCTATTTAACATTAAAAATTAGATTAATTATAATTTAAATAAACAGTTAAATATATCATAGCTTACTTCTTTGAAACATGCATTGCTATAAGAGCAAGATCCCCCTCTGTTTACAACTTGTTGTTGTGCACGGACTCCTTTGTTTGACGCCGAACGCTTTAGAAATTCAGGACTTTGAAAATGCCCTTGGGATATCTATAAGCCCCCCGACATTCTCAAAATAAGTATGCGCTTTATTTTTTCGTCCTCTATAAATTCTTTGCAAGGTCGCATCAATGCTCCGCAACAACTGAGCACGCTCGGGATCCGAGTTAACCTTATCTAAATCAAACTTATTCTACAAATACAAAAAAGTTAGTTAAATACCAATTAGAACGAAATTTAAAATATTGTCCAAGTTACCTTTAAATGAACCATTGTGGCATTCCTTAGAGCGGGGGAAACATTGTCCCAACCAGATACGTTCAAAGGGATGTTCATCTATATATACTTCCCAATCTCACGGGTAAACCAATTACCATGGTTGCCGACACGGGAATATGTCAGCTTCCCTATCGAAATCCAAATCTACAGGTTTTCCCTTGTTTGCCCGTATTATCTTTGATACTTGAATGTTTTTTGCTAGGCCTCTTCTTTTCTTAGGGAGCTCAGCTGAAAAATATAATTAAAAATATTAGTTATGATAACTTATAATAAATGGATAAAAATATCTAACAAATATATAATAATAAGACTTACCATCTTGTTCGTGTTGACCACGACCAAAGCCTCCGGGAGGTGGTGGATCCCCGACTCCATCACCTCCATGTCCTAAGCCCATAACATCCACCATCACGTAGAAGAGTATCGCCCAACTAAACCCCATATATAGCTTGCAAAATTACAATATGAATAGAATTTACACATTACATATACAAAAATAATACAATTTCTATTATAACATTGTAGTTTCCAAATTGCATACAAATACATACACAATATAACATCATACTTTTTTTTCCATTATTGCATCCTACTTTTTTGTTCAATTTTTTCCATGAACTAATTCATTATACAAAATAACCTTTATAAAAAATATCCTTTAAGTCACTAACAAAATGGTAAGAAATTAATAATTTCTAAAAATTAATTAATCTAAGGCTTACTTAATCTAAAATAAATCAATATTATAAAAAATATAAATAAATTTCTGAAGTTGAGGTTTGATCATATATATTTTGTAATGGAGTTTGGTTAAATCAGGAGGTTTGATACCTCCTGTATCCTCATCATCGTTCATCCCAAATGAGAAGCAAGAAAAAAAATACAAATTAATGGCCTTCTGTTTATCATCTACCAACGAATCAAGAGATTAAAAGGGCCAATAAATCAAGAGATTAAAAGGGGATGGATGGAGTAGACTTAGGAAGAAGGAAGCAGCAGCACATGTGCTATAAACAATATAAAATGCATAAAATCCAACAAATTGCACAAACACTTTTAATCTCAAAATTACTAACAATTTATCATACAACATAGCAACAAAACTGGAAATAATAGAAAATTAGAGAAATTTGACCTTGAATGTGGGCAATTTCGGTATTGAGCTCAAGGATCGCCGGTTTTGGAGGTTTTGAGGGAAGCTATGGTGGTCTTGTGGCAGCAGAAGGGGCTAGCACCGGTAATTTACCTTCGTCCTCCACCTAGTCGAAGTGATCAAACCGAGAAGCAGCAACAGAAACGAGAGAATGAAAGGATACAAGCAGAGGAAAAAATGTCACCGAAAAGGAAATTGGAAAGGGTAATCTATAATGCGTATTAGCGGTGACAGAAGGGTAATAGCGGCGACACCTTTGGAGGGAAAAGTCAGCGTGTTGTCGCTTTCCTCTACAACCGTTGGATTGAAATCAAATCGGACGGATAAGGGTAATTTGACACGGATCGCCGATTTTGAGCATTAGCGGCGACGCCTTTAGCAGCGACGTGTAGCAATAGCGGCGACGTGTAACACGTCAACTACATGTCGCCGCTAATGCTCCTCGTCGCTGCTAAAAGCATCGCCCATAATGCCAACATTTCTTGTAGTGTACTTGATGCAAATAATGATATGGCATCCAATAAAGCAAAGAACGCGAACGGAATCTTGCCTGTAAACAAGGGTGTGCCTAAATTTTAATCGTTTCCACCTGGTACGGTAATTGCTGCTGCAAATACAATTGTTGTAATTAGTGCTCCAGTGATGCTGCATGATTCTGCTACGTCTTTCATCCACTTTTCCCCCTCCTTTACCAAGTTGGCATGTTCCTTTGAGAACACCATATCAGGTGTCTCCATAAAAATATTCTCTCTAGTAATGTATGATGGAAACACGAGCTTCTGTACTTCCTGTATAAAATTAATTCAGTTAGTTTATGCACCATACAACAAGAAATAAAATCCTACAATTCATTAAAGGATGTACCTCACGCCATTGAAGCTCTCTTTGTAGTTGTAATGTTGCACCAGTTCTCAGCTTTAGTTTATGCAAAGGAGCTAATCTTCCAGCCAAGTGCAACATATTATTCTTAGAAGAATCTTCGATCATTCTATAAACACTCCTACGCTCCCCAATGATATTGATAAGGTTGTAGATTTTTTCTGAACGGTGTATTACTGCTAACTGTATGATGTCATACCCACTTTTATCTTTATACCGAATTGCTTCGGAGCATCTCATTAAAATCTCATCAACAACCTCATAAGCGTTTTGACGTGCAGCCTCAAGAATCGAGTTTGTGTAATAGCGAGGATGAGCATCAGGGAACTCCGACTTGTCTATTTCACACTACTAGAAAAAAAAAGGTGTTTTCCTACGGATAATAGCTACGGAAAATTTCCGTAGCTAATTAGCTACGGAATGGCTACGGATTAGCTACAGAATTGGACGCCCTAATTTAGTAACGGAATAGCTACGGCATAACTACGGATTCAATTCCGTAGGTATTCCGTAGCTAATTAGCTACGGGATAGCTACGACATCACTACGGATGCTACTCCGTAGCCATTCTGTAGCTAATTAGCTTCGGAATAGCTACGGAATAGTTACGGATCTTAACCTATAGCTATTCCGTAGCTACTTAGCTACAAAATGGCTACGGAATAGCTACGGATATAATATTAAACAATTAAATGAATAAAGGATCTCGAAGGTGCAAACGACTGTATCAACACTATTAATGACTATAAGTTGTTGAAAATAAAGATAATCGTGTATAATAGAGGTGGGAAAAAAACGAAGAGAAAAAAACGATGTTTAATGCCTGGAAAATAAAAAATAATAAAATCCGTAGCAACTCCGTAGCTAATTAGCTACGGATTTTTTTTATTTTCTATTTTTCGGGCACCAAACGTCGTTTTTTTTGCTTCGTTTTTTTTACACTTCTACTATACATCATTATCTATATTTTCACCAACTTATAGATATTAATAGCATTCATAAAGTCGTGTGGACCTTCGTGATCAAGTATTCGTTTCATAGTTTTAACAATGTAATTACTATACTTTTCACCAAATTGTGATGAATTTATTTTTGTATATGTATATTTACATACATGAAAGAGTTGTGGTATATGTGTACGTGTATGTGTGTGTATACGTGTTTGTGCGTATTTATATGTGAACGTAGATCATAAGCGTGTTAAACCATTAAACGAGTAATGGATCTCATATGTGCACACAACTTTATGAATGATATTAATAGCTATAAGTTGGTGAAAATAGGGATAATCATGTATAATAGAGGTGTGAAAAAAACTAAGCGGAAAAAACGATGTTTGGTGCCCGAAAAACTGAAAATAAGAATTATCCGTAGCTAATCCGTAGCTAATTCGCTACGGATTAGCTACGGATAATTCTTATTTTCAGTTTTTCGGGCACCAAACGTCGTTTTTTCCGCTTCGTTTTTTTCACACCTCTATTATACATGATTATATCTAGTTTCACCAACTTTTAGCTATTAATATCATTCATAAAGTCTTGCGCACCTTCGGGATCAAGTACTCGTTTAATAAGTACTCGTTTAATGGTTTAACAATATAATGACTATATTTTTCACCAACTTGTGATGGATTTATGTTTGTAGACATGAATGAGTTGTGGTATATATGTATGTGTATATGTGTATGTATACGTTTTTGTGAGTATTTATATGTGAACGTAGAAGATAAGCATTAGAGTTTAAAACCATTAAACGTGTAATGGATCCCGTATGAGCACACGACTTTATGAATGACATTAATAGCTAAAAGTTTTAGAAAATATAGATAATCATGTATAATAGAGGTGTGAAAAAAACGAAGCGGAAAAAACGACTTTTGGTGCCCGAAATGTCGAAAATAAGAATTATCCGTAGCTAATTAGCTACGGACTAGCTACGGAATTCTAACGGAAATAATAATAATAATAATAATAATAATAATAATAATAATAATAGAAATAATAATAATAATAATAATAATAATAATAATAATAATAATAATAATAATAATAATAAGATGTTTAAATAGAATAGTCAAGCATGTTAGTATGGATGTGGCATGCTCGGCCGGTTGGTAAGTTTGTGGTATTGTACGTAGGCAACCCGAGTTCCAATCCCACAAACGTTTTTTTTTTACAGGTCGTAGCTAATCGGTAGCTAAACCGTCGCTAAATGTGTCCGTAGCTAAGCCGTAGCAGATTCCGAACCTATGCCGTAGCAAATCGGTAGCTATTTTTTTTAATTAAAATCCATTTTATTTCCTTGTTATATTCATCCCACGACAATAATAATAATAATAATAATAATAATAATAATAATAATAATAAGTAGCTAAACTGTCGCTAAACGTGTCCGTAGCTAAGCCGTAGCAGATTCCGAACCTATGCCGTAGCAAATTGGTAGCTATTTTTTTTAATTAAAATCCATTTTATTTACTTGTTATATTCATCCCACGACAATAATAATAATAATAATAATAATAATAATAATAATAATAATAATAATAATAATAAGATGTTTAAATAGAATAGTCATGCATGTTGGTATGGATGTGGCATGCCCGGCTGGTTGGTAAGTTTGTGGCATTGTACGTATGCAACCCGAGTTCGAATCCCACCCATGTTTTTTTTTTGCAGGCCGTAGCTAATCGGTAGCTAAACCGTCGCTAAACCGGTCCGTAGCAAATTCCGAAGCTGGGCCGTAGCAAATCGATAGCTATTGTTTTTAATTAAAATCCATTCTATTTCCTTATATCCCACGAATTCCCCCCCTCCCGTTCACCCCTTGAGTTCAGCGAACAGATCCAGAAAAGAAAGAACCAAACTTCTCCCCCCCCCCCCCCTCTCATTCCAACAATCACCGGCGATTCTTCCCGCTCTCACCGTTGCCGTCGCCGACCGGCGCTGCCGTCGCCGGCTTTCTTCTCCGGCGCAGTTCCCTTCTCTCTCTCGGCCTTTTGCTCGATTCTTCCCTAAAAGGCAAAACCCTAGTGGTTTTTTTTTTTTTTTGAAATTACTTGATGTATACAATTTAGATGCTTTATTCATTGATAATGCTAATAAGTTTTGTTGAATGTGATGTCGAATTTAAGGATTTAGATTTAATTTGGTTGAATATTTGGTTAATTTCATAGCTTGGTTGAATATATGGTTAATTTCAATTTGTTAAAAATGTTAATTTTGTTGAAATGTGATATATAAAAAATGTTGTGAGCTTTAATTTGTTAAAAATGTTAATTTTGTTGAAATGTGATATATAAAAAATGTTGTGAACTTTAATTTGTTAAAAATGTTAATTTTGTTGAAATGTGATATATAAAAAATGTTGTAAACTTTAATTTGTTAAAAATGTTAATTTTGTTGAAATGTTAGGCTAATTTTATAAATTTGTTAAAAATGTTTGATTAAATGGGATGTCATATATGTATCATTAGTTATATATGTGTATTATGTATGTGTATTATGTTAATAATTTTTATGGGCTTTTTATGTATCATTAGTTATATATATTAGATTAAATGAGATGTTACACTATTACTTCATGTTTAGTTTAGTTTAAAGTCACCGAAGCTGAAATGGAAGCAGATGAAGTCTTTCAGGTTGAAGAACGGTTTGAGTCACCCCTTACTGTAACTCGTGTGGAACCGCTATGCCTAGCCTCAACTATAAATACATATGAGCAAATATCTAATGAAGCGAATGAGAGAATTGAGGAGGAAGACGAAGAAGTGGAAGATTTTGAAGACGGAGGTGATGAAAACGAGTTTTATTATTCAGAAGAAGAATTTGAAGACGAAGATGATGGGGACGAATGTTAGGAGCATTGTCTTTTGTTGATGTTAGGAGCATTGTATTTTGTTTATGTTAGGAGCATTGTCATTTTGAAGCCTGTTGTACTGTTTAAACGTTGTTTTGTTAATGATTTTGATTTGGATATCCGGTTGTTTTAAACATTTGTTTTGTCATGACTTATCAATCTTATATTATATATCTGACCATTCTTGTTCTATTAAATGCAGCATGTCAGGTAATCGACGCAAGGATAAAGGCCACAGTACCAACACTTCTTCTAGCAGTGTGGGGAATAGGAGGGGGGAGGGTTATCCCCTAATTCTACCGACGAGCCACGTTATAGGACATCACTCATACCGATTGATATGCCGATAGTGACAGGAGTCGCAGGCTCCAACAGTCAGGGTGCCATCAATGAACAAACCGAAATGGCTGATCCTTTAGCAGATTTGGCTGGGATTCTTCGCCATCAGGCTCGAGGGCTGGGTCATATGTCCCAACTCATACAGACAGATTATAGGCTCCAATCCCCACAAATGGGTTATACGCCTCAGTTTCCAAATACAGGTGCTGAGTTGCCGACCCCACAAACGGTTTTGAGGCCGGGTGGTCGTGATGGATTTGAGGAGTACTATTTTGAGGGTGCAGATGCACAGACAAACTTTCGGTCGCCACAGACCCCGCACACGCCACGGCCACCGAACACGCCACCGACGCCGCATGGCTCCACCTCTAGAGGTGTTACGGGCGGCCACGACTCGAATGCGAGTGATTTTCAGGAGTCTTCGTTGCCCCTCATCAGCCGAAAAGGGAGAAAGTTAGTGTTTTCATACTTTAAAACTTTAATTTTTGATGTTAAAATTCTACTTATATAGTTTTTTTCAATGTAGGTTTGGGTCTAGGAAAATCCACAGCACGTGTATTAGTCTCTATTGGGAGAATATGGATCATCCGTGGCCCCGATTTAGTGATATTCCCAATGAGGCCCTTTTGCAGATGTTTTCGCGTTTCAAGGCAATATATTAAATATAAATTATTGTATCTTATACTCATTTGTTTTTACTTTGTATTTTTAGATTTACTTTTTATTTTTTTACAGACCATGTACAGGTGGAATTCACTAGAGAATAGTAACATATTTGATGCCTTCAAGTGTGTCCTCAAGGATAGATACAGGGATCGGATGAAGCGTATCAGGATTAAATCTGGGGAAATGGCACGAAATGATGGGAAACCCGTCCCCTTAGGTCATTGTACCTACTACGAAGGGATGCATGACTACCGCCCTGGGCGCGTACCGGAGAATGTGTGGCGACGTTTGTGTGATGTAATGGATATGATACTTTATTATCTATTTTGTTGAATTTTAATCTCTTATTGTATTAGTATCCTTATATTTTTTTTCTTTTCACAGCATTGGTCGACAGATAAGTGGAGAAAGAATTCAAAAATTGCTCAGCAGAACCGCAAAGTCGCAGATGCTAATGGGTCGACAGCTAGGCACACCGCGGGTAGTATAGGATTTGACGAGCACCGTAACAACTTAGTAAGTATCATAATTATAAATTTTATTATCTTATTTTTTTAACACTAACTACATCAACTATACTTTGTATTTTTATGTAGGAAAAGGTATTGGGTAAACCACCCACACAATTTGATGTTTTCATGAAGACGCATGGTACAGCTGAGGCGAAAAAAAGATATTTTGCGGGAGATCATGAAAATCTCGAATATTGCTCACTAACTGCCAAAGAAGCACAAGTAACTTATCTTTTATCATTTATTATCTATTTTGATGTCTTAGTATTTTTGTACATGACAATGATACTTTTTTGGTAATTTGTAGGAGATGTATCTACAGGAGATGGCCAAAAAACACGGAGAAGACTCTTCAAACCATAAAGATGATGCGAGGGTATGGGAGGAAATTCAACTTAGGAGAAAAGGAAAGAAGAAGGGTGATATCTATGGCATAGGAGCATCAGATATACATTTTGAGATTACTGGGACACCGTCTTCCCAATCCACCCAATCGGATAGTACACAACAAGAGGTATGTTGTTATGGTTTAAACGTTAATTAGTATGTTGATAATATTGATATAATAAACTAAAGTACATTGCTAATATTGTTTAACTATTGCATTGTGTTGCCATTTTTTTAGGTTGATAGGTTGCGTGCACAAGTTTCTACCATGGAACAACAACAACAACAACAAATGAAAGAACAAATGGAAATGGTTATGAGGATGATGAATATGTCTGGAAATCAACCCCGTGCTCCCCCTGATAATCCACCTGAGGACAATTGATAAGTATTTTGGAACAATTTAGTTTGTAAACATTTGATATTGTTTGTTTTGTTTAGTGCTTACTTTTGTAAGATATTTTGGATAATGGATTGGAATGTGTCAAACTTGGTATGCCGGACGTTTTTTGGTGTATTTTATACGGTATTTGGGACAAATGTGAATTTAATGTGGTATTTGACAAAAAATTGGAAATTTTTAAATTATTTTTTTTTTAAATAAAACGAAGTTAGCTACGGAATCGCTACGGATTTCCGTAGCTATTTACTTGCGTAGCGATTCCGTAGCTGTTTTGTTCCGTAGCTATTCCGTAGCTATTTGTAGCCGTAGCTATTCCGTAGCTATTTTCTTCCGTAGCTATTCCGTAGCTATATAGTGTCGTAACTATTCCGTAGGAAATCCGTAGCTATTTAATTCCGTAGCTATTCCGTAGCTATAGTAGCTACGGAATATTCCGTAGCTATTCCGTAGCGATTTTGTAGCTAATCCGTAGCTATAATTTAGCCACGGGCCATTATGCTACAGCCAATTTTCCGTAGCAATTTCGTAGCTATCCGCTTATAGCTACGGAATAGCTACGGATTGTGCCGTAGCTATTGCACCAATTTTCTAGTAGATCACATACTAATTTTATAACTTCTTTTCCTTCTTCCCATTCCTTTTTTTTCTTATGGATATGCTTAATGGGTGCAACTGCAAGTTAATATATATAAACTTATTTTAGAAGTATATCCTGTAAACATATTAGATTTATATCTAAAACTCACTTAGCATTGGATTAGCTCCATATTCTCTTACCTACTTTTGTAGCAACGTTCCACAAGAGGAAATAAAACATAAAGAATGGGATTACTTTTATCAATATGAGGAGGCGAATGAATCGATAGATCAAAATAAACATCAATACTGGACATGTACAAGCACAAAACTTTTATTAGAAAAATACGATTACTTTTCAAGTTCATATATGATTATTTTTTAAACTGTATCTACGGGTTATAAATAGCTCACCGCCAAAGATGAAGAGTAGTATGAGTGGTATAATAAGAATTGTCATTAGCTATATCTTGTATGAGTTCGGTTACAGCTTCATAGTAATCTTGTAATATTTCAACCAATTCCCAACTTCTCCTTACTATCCTTTCGTAGATATTATCCTTAACTGAATGAGGAAATTAAAACCATAATAAATAACAACAAAGAGACTATATATATTAAATATATCTCTTCTATATTGCCAGCAGTACATTATCATTTTCCACAGCAAATTTTGGAAACTTTTTGACAAACTTTGTTGCTAAATCTGACATGCATATTTGAAAAACTGTGAGCATTTAAAGATGTAAGTCTTTGGATCATCGTATTTCTGGGATATATATATATATATATATATATATATATATATATATATATATATATATATATATATATATATATATATATATATATATCTATACTACCTTATAATAGAAATCCAACTATTTCCATAAATAGATTCAATATAATAATAATATTTTTTAAGACGTCCAAACCATTAAGCTGTTAGTACAAGTAATCATTAATAAAATAATATTAAATTTTAAGAGGTATAACCCTTATTACGCTATTTACAATGAGTTTATGCATAGAAAAATACCAAATCTTACGCGGTTAACATGAATTACGTACATATTGAATAGGCTTTGGCTTTCTTCTTCAAATTGAACTGGTCAAAGAAGAACCCGTCTTCCTCAGATTTTGCCAATTGAATCGGTCTATAGATAAACTTTATATATCATCTCTTATCTTAGTATCTATAGCCCTTCCTTGTAGAATAACCCTAGATGAGTCGCCATCTCTTCTCTCCTTGAACTCTCTCCCTCTCTATTAAATACTCTAAAATTCCTCCCATATTCGACGCAGTTACCCACCACACCTTGACCACTGAGACCATTACAGTCGCTGCTAAACACCTCTGCCTTTCTCTTCTCTTGCATATCTCCTTTAGAAACCCGAATATCGAACATCACAACACCATCAGTAAACTTTGTTGTCACATAACCTTCACTACCATCAAACAGGCCACCTTCATCATCATCGCACTTCATCTTACCACCGTTCACAACCCCCATCTCTCGACATCTAGCATATGCTACTGTTCTATTCTCTAATTATTTGATTTTGATCGATTGCACCGGTCAAGTCTAGAACGAATCTTTTTCTTCATATCTCTGCCCCATCCCCTTATATGACCAATTGACTGCAAAAAATTTCTTATCTGTGAGGTCGTAAGTGTTACGCATTTTACACACATACCTGGAGACCTAACCATCTACTACTCACAGCTGGTCGCACTCGACTCTCTAGAAACCTCAGACAACCATTTTCACAAGTGTCACAGTGGACCAGGATCCAACACGATTTCAAGGTTAGTGCTCTTTAAGCCATATGCACACACATATTCTCTTTTTGTGGTCATAGGTCTCCAACCATCTCTCTCTCTCTCTCTCTCTCTATTGCAGAACCAGGAGGCAAACACTATTAATTTACAAACGTTCTCTAACAATACAGGTTTTTGTTAGCAATTTTAAAGTGTTCTTTTCAGTCATTTATCACATAATCGTCAATGTTTACTCTCAATTTCCGGTGTTTCCTCTCCATTTCAGGTTCTGATGTTTGTCTACATTTTGGGTAATCATTTGTATATTAAATATTCTTGTATAAGTGTATCTAGAGTAAAGCTTTCTTGTTTAAGTGGTACTAAGGGTATTTGTGTCCTTTTGACATTTCTCAACTATCTGTATCAATTCAGGTATATCTTCAACTATCTGTACTGATATGGACTCCAGTTAATGAAGGAAATATCTTATTACTCTATCATTTTACTATAGTTGTTGAATCCTTATCCATTTAATTAATGTTTGTTTTCAAGAAAAATAACAATTTTTGTTATGAATTGGGTGAAAATCACAGAAATCGAACTGTTATCATGACCTCACCACCATCGTCTACCATCTTTGTCTTCTCCCCTATCTTTGTATTCACACTCTAATTAAACCCCAACGTTGAAGCCTTCACTAACCATCTCCATCTTCACCACTATCCAGGTAAATAGTTCTATCAAATTCTCTGTTCCATGTTTTTTTTTAGTTTTACTTAATTGTCATATAATGATTTTACTCTGTGTTTCATGGATATATCGATTCTTACACTCACCTATGTTGTTTAAGATTATTTAGAGCTATTCATAAATGCCAGATTATTTGATGAGATCAGCACACACTATTTCCAACCAGTTTTAGGGTTAGTTGTTTATTTTATTCACAATTTATGAGCTTGTTTTACATTATTTTTTGCAGGAGTATATTGAAAATTTCATAGTTAGTTTGATGTTCTTAAAGAAATAAGCAACTAGAGAGCTTGTTAATTTGTTTAGTTCAAGGTATTACTTTCTTTCCTTATCGTTTCTCAATTTGGTTGTGTGTGTTTGTATGAGTCTATGTTTATCTTGCAAATCACCAAGAGTCAATTAGTTGTTTATAAAAATTCCTAGATCATTGTTGTTGCGAGACACTACCTTTTTTCTCCTTCCATGGCTATCTTTGCTTGCTAAACCCACCACCTTTGTTATCGTTCTTTGCACTTCCCCTTTCTGTCTCTCTATCAAAAAGCTACCTCATAGCTTCCACATATTAGTTTCCTCTATGCATCCTTCTAAAATTCCGGTGCTGCTGACCATCGTCCTGTATCTATGCGTATGTCTAACTTTGTGTTTATGTGTGTTTACAGGACTTGAAATGGATTGATATAAACCAACATCTCAAAGAAATCGTGGGTAAGCTTCTTAAGATCTGAATATGATCTTCTTGTTGGGTTTTTAGAGCTCTTGTAGTTGAATGTTTAGTTTTTTCTTTAAAGTTGCAATATGTAAGTTTTTGTTATTGTTTGGGGTAAACCCATTTGTAAGTTTTGTTTTTGAAAATTGCAATGCATAAGTTTTTGGTTTCATTTATTGTCAGACAACAAAAAAAATTTAACTGACAAAATTTTGTGAATTTGGATTGATTTGTTTCAAATTTTATCATATACATATTTGACTATTGTATCATTCTTATATTTGAAGGTACCATATGAATAATAGTTTCTTCTTTGTTTTGTATGTATCATGTACAAGAACATGGGAGTGTTTTGTTCTTAATATTTTGTATGTAAATGAAAAAAATAAGCTTTATTTATGCATTATACCATTTGTGAATGAAAGTTTTTTTTTTTTTTTTTTTTGTTAATTCTCATGTGTCTTTCTTTGACATTCGTAATTGGTTTGGTGGGTTCACGTTATGTGGTTATATTTTGGTTTTCGATTTTGTTTTCGGGTTAAGTATTTTGTTAATTAATTTATTAGGAAACTATGATTTCATTTAAGATTAAAAACTTTCTTCCGTCTTTGAGTTCATTCGCATTTATACATTAAAAACTTCGCATTTTCATTCAAATTCTTCGCATCTTGCATCCATCCGTCTTTGAGTTCATTCGCATTTCATCGCATTAACTGAGAAATTAATCAGTTGTCTCATATTCGCATTTCAGTTGTTTGAGAAACCCAGATACGAACCCAAATGCGAAACCCACTGATTTCAAATGCGAACCAACCAAAAATCATCAACCACGTACTTGTGTCACCAAATGCGAACTGAATATCACCATTAAATTCTCCTCGCATTCTATAGATGCGAACACAATCCAGATCTCCGACTCCAAGCTTGCGAAATCAAAATCAATTAACCTCAAACAAATCGTGAACTTCTTATGCGAACTGTTTTGACCCACAAAACCAAATGCGAACTCAATTGATGTCATATGTGAACTGATTTCATATATGCGAACACAATTGATTTCATATGCGAATCCACATCCATCGATATGAAACCAATACCAGTTACAAGCAATTAGTAGCAACCATCGATCCTCTAATTTTCAATTACTCAGCCTTCGCTTTTCATACAACCCGTCGACCCTGAAAAATC